CCTGTGGCACCCAGCCAGCCCCTTGACCAGGTGCTGCAATCCACAGCAGTTATTAAGATGGGAATATAATTATTTTAATTCACAAAGGTTTGTAAAAAAAAAATAAAAATTGGCAGTTGTGAGCCAGTTCAAACATCACCAAATGCACAGTGCTGTATAACTTTCAAGTCCTGAACTCGAGCAGTAGGGCTCCCACTTTAATAATTGTCTGTAAAGCCCTGGGGGATTGCTCACCGGGCAAGGAAAATGTCATTTGCTGTGTCCCAGGAGGAATCTGAATTTGCCACCCACCTCAGTGGGGTTTGAGGTTGCAGCTGATCAAGTTAAATGTTCATGAAGTGACAGTGCAGAGGGGCCTCACACAGCAATCATGGACCCAGGGAATGGTTTGAGTTGGAAGGGACCTCAAAGCTCATCCTGTTCCACCCCCTACCATGGGCAGAGACACCTTCCACTAGCCCAGGTTGCTCCAAGCCCCGTCCAACCTGGCCTTGGACACTACCAGGGATGGAGACCTTAAAGCCCCTTCCAGTGCTAGAGGGGCTCCAGGAGAGCTGGAGAGGAACTTTGGCCAAGGCCTGGAGTGACAGGACAAGGAGAATGGCTTTGCACTGCCAGAGGGGAGGGTTGGATGGGACATTGGGAAGGAATTGTTCCCTGTGAGGGTGGTGAGGCCCCGGCACAGGTTGCCCAGAGAAGCTGTGGCTGCCCCATCCCTGAAAGCTCTGGAAAACACTGACGTGCTCCTCCTTCAGCCAGACAAGCACAGGGTGTGAAAATGCACAGGGCTGGGGGAGGATCCTCCCACAGACTCTCGGTGTCTCAGCCATGCAGGTCTGCACCTGATCTCAGTGACACCTGCACTGCAGGCGGACCCTGCCCAGAATAAGTGGATTGTGTCTCTAATTCCTGAGCGTGGGATTCCTCTCAGCTCACGTTGGAGATCTGCAAGGCAAGACTGAGTCATCCACGCTCTGTCTGTGGGCAAAGCAGGAGAGGCCTCTCCACATGGCAATTCCACCCAGCTATCACCTTAGGATGGGATGGAGAACAAGCTGAAAGGTTTATCCTCCTCCATTAGTTAAAGGGAAAGCCTGGACCTACATAGTCCACCCTGCTCAAGGGAACATAAAGTTCAAACCCAAGAACACGCTGCTGGGAGCGGGAGTTTTATTGGAAATATCACTCACCACTCCTCGGTAGGATGGAGGGATGAATCCACAGTAAATAGGAAGGAAGCAGCTGCAGAGGAGAGCCTGGGGGAGGAGAGGGATTGCAGAAGTCAATGTTCCTGTCAAAGTTCCCCTGGACAAAAGCTGTTGACTGGGTGCCTGAAAATTCAGCCTTGACGAAGTCTGGAGCCAGGCTGCCAGTGCCACCTGGACTGTGGCAAGAAAGGCTTCAAGAAGGGCAAAACAGCTCATTTCGTTAAAGTTGAAATAATTCTCTTGAGCAGGGCAAAGCCCTTCAGATTTTAATTAATTTTAAAAATTAAATTTATTTAAATCTAATTAACATTGATTTAATTAAGCCCTGCCAGAATTAATAGGTGTAAATCTACATATCACTGTCCAACACTGCCCTGTGAGAGTGGCAAGGTGAAGCTTTGGGGCCATTGTGCATCTTTGCAGGTTTTTGGACAAAACCAAGACACCCTCACAACTCATCCTCATCCTGCTGGGATTTGTCAATGAGAAAGCCACTGCTGTGGCATTTGCAACTGTATTCTAGCAACCCCATCAGCTGGGAATGAGCTCCCTGGGCTCCTGGGTTGCCTAGAAGAGGCACCACGGGGTGAACTCCAACATCTCCATGGAGTTGCCACCCTCTGCTGTCACCCTGTGACAAGCAAGTTTAGGACCTCACAGTCTTTGCCCCGGGATTCTTCCCCCAGGTAATTAACCAGATAATTAACTGCTTAATCAGCTGCTTGTTGTTTGGCTTTGTCCAGCTCTTGCCTCCCAGGAAAGTGCTGAGGCAATGAGGAAAACCACTGCCAATGGGATTTGGCTGAGGAGAGGCCTCTCCAGAGAGCTGAGCATTAACAGAGCTCTTAAAGAGTCATCAGCACTAATTAGAGCACCAACATCAGCTTTATGAGGCTGAAAAGAACCCTGCTGCTTTTTTAGCATGATTTGTTCCTGTCTGACTCTGGACCTCACATCTCCCTCCCTCCAAGACTCAGGGAGCTTATTGTGGTGGGACTACAGCTCTGGCAGAGCTTCTTGATCCTCTCAGTAGAAAATCTGGCAAGCACTATAATGTTTATTACTCAGGGTAGAAAACAGTGCAGTTAAAAACACCAGTTTAGGTTCCTCCACCCCGAGCAGTGGGCAGAGATCTTCCTCAGCATCAGAGGAACGACTGTGTACCTGAATGAGCTCCTCTTTGGAGCTGAACTCCGAGGCCATGACATTCTGGCCATCTGCCACCCGTGTGAGTGAGATGTGCAGCCTCCCTGAAGCCAGCTGGTAGGAATCCTCTGGGAGCATTCGCTGCAGAACAGCCTTGATATTGGCCAGCAAGCTGCACTTGGGAGAGAGGGGGCCCAGGATGGTTTTCCTGACTTCTGCTGCCAGGGCAAAGAAAAATTCCTTCAGGTCATCTGAAACAGAGACAGGGGAAAGACAGAGAGAAAGTCAATATCCCTGCTGCCCTACCAGTTATATTTTTCATCCTATTCCTAACACTCCCCACAAATAAAGCCTCTTGCAGCCCTTCTGTGTGACCCCAGGATGACATTGCTGGGGAATGTTGTGGCAGGGCAGAAAAGGGGACATCACCCCCACGATGTCCTCAAAAGACAACGTGCTGCTGAGTGTGACCCCGTCTGTGAAATCCCCGTCTGCACCGGAGACAGGTGCTCAAGGGAGGGATTAGGGAAAGGTTCCAAAGAACTCTGCAGACAGAGTTAGAGGTGCCAATGTGACCTGCACAACACGTTCCTGCCTTCCACCTCCAGTTTTCCAGCTGCCTGGGGGGGATGGGATGGCTCACGGATGAGGATGAGGGGCACCTACTCTGTTTAGGGCTTTCCTGCAAGCCAAGTGTCCTGGGACTCCCCGCTCACCTGAGCTCCCCCAGCCACCTGTGAGATGGTGTTAATAACCATTACAAGTGTCTGCACATCCCAGGAGCTGGATTAAAGGAGCAGAGCCCCAGCAGAGCCCTGGCCAAAGGCTCAGGACACTCTGGGTTTTAAAGGCTGTGCAGTGATGGGGAGGAAGAGGAGTGCAGCAAACTCCTGATCCCAGGGAGGGAGTTTGGTCCGTTTGCTGACATGGGGAGCTCCCCTGGGGGAATATCCCACCTTGGGGGTTAAACTCCTTCAGCAAAAAGCTCATGTAGCTCCAAAAGAGCCATCCTTGCACCCAGGGGAGCTCCCTGGGCCCTGCACTGGCACGAAGCCTCAGCACCACGGCTTTGTAGGGGCAGAGGTTTCCATGCTGTCTCATGAGACTGCTTGGACAGACAGACAGATTAGATGGAGTGTCCTGAAGGCACCTGGAGCCACACAGGTATTAAGAGGGGTTATGTGTGTTTGAGCGGATGCTGAGGCCATGTGGTGATGATTAGTGCTTGTCAGGGTCACACGGGGTCCTCGGGGATCCCAAAAGAGCCAGGGACACCCCAGGGAGGTGGTGCACCCACAGGGCGCTGCCTGGCTGCTCTGTATCCTGGGAATGAGGAAAATGTGGAAAAACTGCCCACAAGCTGCTGGGTAGGAGGTGAGAGACGATCCCAGGTTGGGGGCTTTGGTTTGGGGCATGCAAGGGATGACCCTGGCAGCAGTGCCATGTCTGTCCCTGCCTGCAGCAGCTTGGTGACCAGGCATGTCCCCAGGAGATGACCTGTGGGGTGGCAGAGGACAGACTGGCTCGGGGAGCTCAGACCTCCTCACCCAGCCCAGGTCAGGGCAGGGGACAGGGACCTGACTGCAGTTACCCCAGGGACACCAAACACACCTTTCACCCTCTTTTTGCCCCAGTGTGAATTTGACAGAGTTTGTGCCACTTTCATTTTCCTTATTAGAAACCCAACCAGCGTCATCACTACCCAAAATGTCTTTTCTTCCCCTGGGGAAGGTATTTTGAGCACAAGATCATCTCAACCCCTCTAAGTGGAGGGTGCCTTTCACCCCTACGGAAGCAGAGCCCTGTTTCAGGACTGGCACCCCCAGCAAGAGCAGTTCCTAAATTTATTTACCCTGCTGGACATCCCCAGCTCCATCCATTACACCAGCATGAGGAATCAGGAGGAAATTTTGGGGCCCTTGCTGATTTGTGGAGGAGTTTACCCCATATGGGCAGAAATGTTTATTTCTACTCTTTCTAAATATATATATATATAAATATACATATATATACACTGCTGTTCCATCAGGCACATCCCATTGATGAGCCCTTGAGCTTTTACCACAGGGAAAGATGCTCCATTGTCTGGAAATGGGAATTGCACCACCTCTTCCCTTGTTCTGGGAAGGTTGGGTGGGATGACCCAAAGTGACATGCAAACAGGGCTGTCACCTCTGTGGATACCTGTGAACACCACCCATGTCCCTTTGCTGCTGAGGAACCCAAGGGACCTGATCCATAGGGACAAGGGGCCTTTACATGGGCATATCCCATGGAGATGCCAAGTCTGCAGCCATGTAGACTTTCTTTGGGGCACATCTCAGCACTCCTCAGACCTCGTAGCAGAAGGGAAGTTCGGCTCCTTCAGCAGGAGCAGGAAAATGAGCCAATGGAATACAGGCACATCCAGATTTCCCCACACAAGCATCTCCCCCCCATCTGACAATGAACACTCAGACTGTCACAACCTGCTGTTTCCCCTTACACCACCCAAAATTGCTCCAGCTTGGCTGCCAAAAGTGACAACACCTTGGATTTCTTTGGTGCCTCACGAGCGACAGGAGTTAGACCAGCATTGCATCCCTGCTGCCAAACACCCCTGAAATCCTCAGGAATGGCAGAACCCTCTTACTCTGCATTTTGGGAGTCAGAACCACTGCCTTTTTGGTGTTAGAAGACCAGGCCTCACTCCATTTGCAGCTCTGGGTGTACATGTGGCCAACAAAAATCCTGCCTCCACCCAGACACCAACGCGTCATTTTTTCACCTGTTTATAAATTTTTAACAAATCTAAAGAAATTAATGTTCATTGGTTCTAAATTACATCATTCCTTTTCATTAATTAGTATTCTACCCACTATTGGTTACTAATGCCTCGTTGCTCATGCTAGTTAGTTCATGCTTTTAGTCTTTTTGGTATCTTTAGTGGGGACTTTCTGACACAAACACTGAGCCTTTGTTAGACTTCTTTGTTACCTGCTGGTTTCTGCAAAAGGTCCTGGTCTCCAGATGTCCAGTTTCAACAACACATCTTTCTCTCACAGGCTTTGTTCACTGAAGCCTATCAAGGTTAACTTTAAAACTTACAGTTTTAGCCCTTTTCCCAAGCTGTGTTCTCACAAAAGTTGCTTATGGCAAAAAAAAAAGCGATTTAAGGCCTAACACGCAACCCGTGATCAACGAAAACAACTAATCAAAGGGCTCATTAGGACCATTAAAAAAGAATTAGGAAAGTTGTATCGTTTGCAACATCCCCCCCCAGCACTTCGAGGCACCATTTTTGAAATAAGAATCCCCACGGAAAGGAAAGGGAGGTGAGGGTCGCCTTACCCAGGCCGATCCCGCACACGACGGCGGCGGCGATCAGGGACCCCGCTGAGGATCCATAGACCTTGCAGGCAGATTTGAGGAGCTCGGGAGCCAGTTCCAGGAGGGACTGCACCACCCCAACCTGGTACAGGGCCAGGAAACCACTGCCCGAGAAGGAGAGCGAGAAAGGGGTGCTCGGAGCCCGGAGATCCTCCACAGCCATCCCGGGATCCAAGCGCTGGGTCCGGCTCGGTGTCTCGGGCTGTCCTTTTTCACCAGGTGAAACTCAGGCTCTCTTCTGCTCTGCTCCCTCCAGGCTCATCTCTGGTGCAGAGGAGTCCAGAAGATGGATTTTCTGCCTCCTTTTATGACAGCTCCCCGAGGCGTTGAGATTCCTGAGCTATTTTAATTGCTGCCTGTGCTAAAAACAGAAATTTTCCCCTGATCAAAACAGCTCTTATAATCCTCAACCACAGCCAGGCTGATGCTCAGGGCTGAGTCAAGGCTCCCCTCTCATTCCAAGGGGTCTGCAGTGCCCCAGGAGCTCTCCCAGAGATAGTTCTGATGTTCCTGTGCCCGGCACAATTGGAAACATCCGTGCAAAAATTCCTCTTTGCTTTGTGCTTTCTTCATCAAAGGGTGTTTTCCTAAATAGGATTCTCCATTAATCCTGGCTTAGGCACAGCTCAGTACTGAGTGAGTAAAGGCTTGTATAAGACACTTAAAGCCAGAGGGTGTTACACAAGGGGTGGATGCAGGGCTGGGTTAGGTTTGGAAATATTCCTTATATTTGCTCCCCATTGGAAGGGTTTTTTCCTTGCCTGACTCTTGGATATTATTTGGGGGGTGTAAAAACCAAAGAGCTGGGTTTGTTTTTCTCTCCCCCTCCCAATGAGGTCCTACAGTAGCACCACATTCCCCAAATCTGTGGTTACAGAACCAAAATCAAAGTGCATTTGGGCTGTCTGCATTTCCTGGGGAATAGTTAAAAAAAAATGGAGAAATTCAGTAGATTCTTTGTGTCTTTTCAGCCTGCTCCAATGCTGCTGCCAACATACAGAATAAAAAATGCCATTTTCAACAGAAGTGTTTAATAAATATTGGTAAATACTGTGTGTTTATGTTGTCCAAAACCATACAGCTTGAACTGTATGTGAATACTACATATGTTGAAATGAAGGATTTGTCTATACAACACTGGCATGTGGATGATGACAGGCTGAAGGAACAAACTCTCCTTCCCCATGTCATGCACCAGCCTGGCCAGGACAATGCAGGGAAACAGAGGATGGTCCCAGCATCCTGATACAACCTTTGCAGGGTGGTTTCACCCCCAATTTTTATACATTTTAACTTGTCCTCTCCAGCTTTTGTTGCATCCCCATGACAAGAATTGTGTCCTGGGAGCAGAGATGTGCCAACTGTCCCTGGGTTGAAGTGTCACTGGTGGACATTGCCTGAACCCCAGGTAAATGTGCCAGCACAGCCAGGGCAGGTCTCTGGTGCTGCCTGGATGTCAGGACACACAGCAGCAAGTTCTCAGCTCCAAGACATGTTGAATAATTACCTGAGTTATCCTGGAGGTGAACAACTGCTTGAATCAGGGCTTTCAGATCACAGCATTACTGGAGCTTCTCATTTCTTGTCTTTCCAGTGTTTGATGTTTTGTATCATCCCCTCCTTGGGTGAGTCTCCCACACATTCCAGCTTTTCCACCAGCCTCCTGGTGATATCTGAGCTTTGAGCTGTGTGATTCAAGCCACTGGCTCCTGCAGCCCTTGGGAAAGCAAAAATCCCTTCATTTAAAGGACTTTCTTCCAGTACTGGCAAGTCCAAGAAGGACAAAAAAATCATCTCTTGCTGCGACTGGTCCAAACACTTGTCCTAGTTAGGACAGCTGAGACCAGTTCATCATGGTATGGGTATAACCCAAAACTGTGTATTCTGTAGCCTTCCATGCCATTGCCCAGAAATTGTTAGCAGTAGAGGCCTGTAGATGTTCCTGTCCTCATACCCTCTTATGGAATTCCCTGCTCTGAGGGAAGGACTGAGCATTCCTGCCTGAACTGGAGAATATATAAACTTGGAGTTTTGGAACCTTTTTACCACTCGTGGGATCCAGAGGAAGACTGCAGCTCAACACCCTCAGCTGGACTGCAATCACCACTTTTGACCAGACTGCAACAGCTCTCCCACCAGCAGGGTTTTTTTTCCCCTCTCCCTTTACTTTGGACTCGGGGGGGGGGGGGGGACAAGAAACACCATTTTGTTCATGCTCCAGGGTGCTGGGTTATACATTTGGGTTTTGTGGGTTAAAACCAAATTGCTTGTCTGTATAATCGTACTTATTGTATTATTTTATTAAATTGTCTGACTTATAATCTCTCTTTTGAGTTGAGTTCATTCCCCCTGCTGGTTAACTTTTAAACCAGCACAACACTCCAGAGCATTGGAAGTGCAGGAGTGTTTGCACACTGGAAGGAATTGTTCCTGTGTTCCCTGGGGGTGAGCTGTGCCAGTGTCAGGCCCCCAGGGAATGCAGCAGGCTCTGCATGGAGAGGTGTAGGATGCTCCTGCTCCACTCAGCCCTGACTGCCAAGATTTGGGAAAGGTGTAAATGATCCCACGGGACCTGCAGGAACACGGTCCTCTGTCCTGCAGTGAGTCATGGGGGGTTTCTTAAGGGGTCTGGGAGTTGCCAAATCCACCCCTGCACCCTCCCCTGCTGCAAACTCTGAGGCCCCGGGACAGCATTCCAGGAGACATCATCCCCCCTGGCTCAGCTCCAGGGTCCCGTGAGAAGAAACCTTGTCATCATCCTCTTAGTGACAGCAAATTTTGCACTAATTGGCTCATTAAGTGCCGGGCTGATTTTCTAAGCTGCCCTCCCCACCTGGCAAAGCAGGATTAGGAGGACCTGACAGCTTCAGAGACAGAGGATCCCGGCAGCAGGTGGGTTTGGGGAGAAGGTCCCCGGCTCACACTGAGCACCAGGAGGGCTGGGGGCTGTGCAGGGCACGGGGCTGCTCCTTGCCTGGGCAGGATCAGTGCCCAGATGGCTGGTGTCTGTGATCCCAGGGATTGTCGTGCGAGGGGATTGTCTTTGCTGTTGGAAGCCACCACGGGGTGTTTAGGGAAGGATGAAGGTAATGCCAAGAGCTGGAAACTGCTCAAACCCCCGGGACTTATAATTTGCCCTTCTTTAAAACCTCCTTAATATCTTCAGTGGCCACAGGCAATCAGGTTCTCAATTTTATAACCAAGAGATTAGCCCAAGATGCCAGAGTCACTCACAAGAAGGACATGAGGTGTTGCACTAAACAGCAGCTGTGGCCACTTCTGACCTCATCCCACTGTGCTGGGCTGGAGCAGCATCCCTGCTTTGGGTTGGGCTATTTGAGGGTAGGAGCCCCTTGTGCAGGGGGATGGGCACATTTTGCTCCTCGTTTTCCAGGCACTGCTGCCCTGATGGGTTGGAAACGGTCCAGTGACCACGGCAGGAGAGTATTTGGTTGAGCTGTGGTATTGGGAGAAGCACAGGAGAAGGGAATGGGAGAGATGAGTTGTTTGCCTCACTGGTGTTTCACCTGGTGGGTGTCCCAGATGCTGATGGAAGATGAAATCCTCTGGGAAGTCAGGGAGGAAACAGAACCCTTTTTTGCTCCCACCCCTGGCATTGCACGAGCTCAGATGCAAAACAAATAGAGGCATTGCATGATCCTCCAGATGGGTCCCCACCACCTCCCCACCATCAGCTCAGCCTGCCCTGGTCACAGCCCAGCACAGTCCCCCAGGCTCCCAGCAGGGAACGGGGACATTGGGACAGCTACAAACAGCCAAGAGCAGCTTCGGTTTCTCTTGCAGTAAAAGTCTCCCAATTTGGTTCCTGGCCAAAAGGAAACATGGTGTTGATGCTGCACTTGTTGTTGGCAGGATCCGGGAGTGGGATTTGATGTTTTCCACAGTCCTAATTACCCCAGGCTAAATTAGACAGAGCCCCTGCAAGGTATCCCCCCTCCCCGGGGCCTTGAGCAGCCGGTGACTGAACTCTCTGGGTCTGTCAGATGTGCCCTTAAAGGCTTCACAAACAGGGATGTGGATCGGGGTGGGGAAGGGCTGCTCCTGTCCTGCAAGGGCTCTGCTTCCCTATTTTCTGTTGCTTAGGGTTTTAAATGGACTGAGAATCCAGGAGAGGAGGTGCTGGACAGACCCAGCTGGCACCAAAGGCCCACAAGGGACTGTCACCCCACACATGGCCCTGACCCAGACACACGTATTTATTTGCTGCCACCATCACCTTCAACCTACTAGATCATCCCACCTCTTGCACACTCCAAACCCCAAAACTTCATCTCCTTCACTCCAGACTGGGTCCAACCTCGCAAGGGAGATGCTCCTGCTGGTGCCATCACACCGAGCCCTGGCAGCACTCACCCCCCCCACCCCAAGCTGCCTTAATCCATGGCCCTGCTTAGGGGTCTGGGCAAAGATTAGCTGGAAACATTCCCAGTGATTAGGGTTTAAATCCCTTTGACATTTCACATCTTCTTAGAGCTTGTAGGTGAGACCCTGGCAGCTGCAAATCCCCTCGGTCCTCGAGGGAGTGACGGCTCCTGCGCCGCTCAGGAACGAGCTTTACCCAGTTCTTGGTGTTAACCCAAGCTGCTTTGGGCAGTAAATCTCCTTCTGCTGGAAAGGGAGTGACTATAAATCGTAAAATTGGCAGGACAGCACTGTGTATCCCCTGTCTGAGTCCCTTGTGCCACTTGGCATCTGGCTGGGAAGGAGCAGCCACAGCAGCTGGAGCAAAGCAGATGTTATTCCATCTATAAAAGCCTCACACAACACCCTGAAGATAAGCCTGGCTGGCATTTAGGCACCAATTTATTTGAGTTTTATGTTTTTTTCCAAACTGGATGCTTGGCTGACAGCAGAAACTACAAAAATTATGTTGTACATTCACAGATACATATAGAAAAGGAGGTAAATAAATACACGTACACAAACACCAACAACCCCTGAGGTTCAACACATGCACTTGGTGGGAGCTAAAATGCAAATACAGGGTGAAATCTGGGCTTTGTTTGATTTACAGACTCTCTGCCCCCAGCCAGGAGGGTTTTTAGCATTTCACAGTGCTCTGGTTGTTGCTCAGGTTTTCCTTCGAGGATTTTAAATCCAGGGCTCAGAAGTTCACCCCACATCCAGGTCACCATCAGGGATTGTCCTCCCACCAGTAAATCTTCATCCTTGGGTTCCCAGGCACCACAGGCCCTTCACAGCAGCTGATTTCAGTCTGGGCTGTCACAGTGGTCTGTCCTGAGCTTTTCTCTGTTCTGCTGAGACA